ATTCTYTCAGATTATTTTGCATATCTTCATTCCTGGTTATATCATTTTCTTAACTCAATACTAGATGTACAAACTCTGTCACTYGCTGACCTACCGCCTGAGGATGACGATGATGATCCATTTACAGCAAAGCTAATGAGCTTTGAGGTGAGTGAAATGTTTCCTCTAGAGGGTAGCCTGGTTCTTTGTCAGGGACACCCAGAGGAGAGCTGCGGAAGCCCCGYTATGCTTTCTCGAGGGTTTTACTCCGGGTTCTACAGTTTTCCCGTCGCAAAACCTATTCAGTCTCAGGCCCCGTCCACACGTATCCGGAAATTTCTGTATCCGCAATTTTTTTTTTTTTTTTTTGCGGATGCGGGTTGCGTCCACAATTTTTTTATCCGTATCCGCAAATTTTCGAAAACGGTCTCCAGAGTGGAAATTTTCGAATACGCTCCGAATACGGATACGTGTGGACGGTCGTATCCGCAAATTTTCGAATACGCTGACGTAAACACGATTTTGCGCATGCTCAATAAGAAAAAATTTCCATCAAAGGGACTAGGCAYTAGCGTGCAGGGCGGATCAAGAAATTTCCGGATACGTGAGGACAGTGAGAACGATTCGAAAACGATTCGAATACGCTGCGTGTGGACGCCTACGGGTACGGGGCCTAAATTCCAATCATCTTCCGATCTGTGAGTTATTACCCATGCACTGACAGATCAGCCCAACGGTTGTTTCAAGATATCAATACAATTTGAAGCCTTTCTTCTTTCTTTTTTTAATTTTTAATTTTTTTTTTTTGCAAATGTTATAAATGCCGTGTAAGTAAAACCATTTCAACCTACGGTGTACTGGATTTTTGTTTATCTTCAARTCGTTTGATTTCACATATTCAGTCAAATCTTATATAAGTGATCCACCGTATACCGCATTTTTGTTGTYTGTGGCGTCTACAAATTATTTTCTATATAAATGTAATTTATTATAAATCTTATGTTACCAATTTTGGACTCTCCTCTCCTCGTAATAAGCGTTGGGTCGACGCTCCTGTATGCTAAGATGATTTATTCGTTATTTATTATAGCAAGGAGGATCAGAGTTCGTACCTGTGAGAGTAGGGCGTWCAACTCTTAAGGCTATGAACAAACTGGAAGTCATAGTAAAGAAATGGCCTCGGCCTCTCAAGTACCAGTACTATAGGTCATTGATGCCCGATGTATCGATAACACTGTGCGAGTCCTGTAATCGGGTGCGTATCTCGTGTATGAACTTCTCGGGTGTGTTTTTTGCATTGAAATGGATAGGGGGCGATCAAATGGGGTACAGGAAAATTGGACTAGTTATTTGTAGATATTTAAATATTTCTTTTGCGTCACAAGGAACCTATCGTGACAAAAAGAACTAGTTCCCCGAGATTTCWAGGTATTTGGAGCAAGGTTTAGAGGTTGCTAACCAGAAATTAGTTAAATCATTAACTGCATCCATCCCCTGCTGTTCATTAAATACTTCCACCATGAGTTCTTCCCCTGCCTTCCCCCAACAGGGAGGGAGGGAGGGAAAGAAAGAAAAAGAGTAGAGGGAAAAAGAGAGGGAAAATCGACGAGGTTGATTAGTCGTTAGTTTGAATCACGTTTTTTAATTGCACATGAAACTCCAAATAGTCAAGATAGATTTATCAAGAAATGTTTTTAGGCTCTTTTCAGAGCGCTCTAATCTAGTTTTTTGATTTCCCCTGCAGTAAGTAGYTGTGTAACCATGCCCTTTCGAGTTGATCGTGAATGGGGAGACTGTTAACTAGTGACGTATTGATATGATTGACATTTCTTTTGATTTGTGTTATAGGTTTTTCACACCGACGACTACGAATTGATGGTCCTACAGAAAAATTCCTGTCCCTTCTGCAGAAAACCAGCTGAACATCTTTAGAACAGCTGTCGTCGCGTTACCTTGGATTCGGCATGTATTCAGCCAAATTGGCGATCAAAAACAATATCTACTCGACTGTATCTTTATAGATCCAATRCTTAAGTCCTGCCTCTTAGCAAAACCAAAATTGCGGTTGAAATCTTGAGAGCCTAAGCACCCCAACCACCCTATTTGTTTAATATTTCAGAATATCGTTCTTGGTATACGTATTTTCTTTTGTATGCTGGGTTTTCGTATGTTTAGCCGGAATGATTATGATAAAACTGTTAAGTAACTCAAAATCTATTAGAAAAAAGACGTTCCGCTTATCTGTCACAGACGTATCTCGTTCACGGATTGACGTGGTTATTTTRTTACAATCATCCTAGAAGATTAAATCTGCCCTTGAATGACCGTCATTTTTGAAGAGTTTGTCGGATCAGGTGACTAATCTTAAGTCTTTCCGTTGAATTTTTGAAGTGGTGTTTAAAGGAGAAAATCACATGTTTGTCTGGTTGAACACGAATCAAGGTTACTCAAGGTCATTTTTTGCTTTAACCCCATCCCTCCGAGGCAGATAACGTGAAGGGGTGGAAGGCATACGCTGGTCTTAGGCCCCAATTTTGAACATTTACACCGGCAGAGTTTATTTTCTATAAAGATTAACAAAAACCTTACCTCTAATAATATTTTCGGGTATCATTCCWTTTACAGTGCAGGCTTTCTTTAATCCTCTTAGATTTTAGCTTCCTCCTTACTTTATTAACMTTTTTTTTGCGTTTTACACCATTCCATTCGTTGATTCCTTTCTGTCTTTGACTGGTGTTTTTACCACGGTACATGTTTCTCGCACAGTACTATAAAAAAATAGTTGTCGGGTATCTTTATCGAAAAGCTTAGAGATGAACCTCTTAATTCTCACTTATTCTAAAATACACCCATTTTATCTTTACTCAGCAGTTTAGAAGTTTCCATGTAAATAATGTAAATAAATAATTCGTAAATATTTATATTAAACGCCTAAGTGTTGAAAGCATTTGTGGGCTTATTTTGCCGATTTTGTTATTTTTCGTGGGTGAACAAGCTATTCTTTAATAATTGCCCAAAGATTACCCATTCCTAAATAAATACATCACGATTCCAGTACTACYTGCATTGCAATCGTTACCCAATGGCTTCCGCGCGCGAAAAATGAGATCGGTTAGGATGTACAGCTTCTCGTCCAGCCGTTTCTTTCTTGAAAGGAAAACAAAAGAAAATATCTTATTTGCTTCCAGGGTTTTTCCTTCTTCCCGCGTAATTCAACTTATATATTTCCCCCGACCTGTTTAGATTGAAGATCGTTCTTGAAGATGCATGGTTCAAAATCTCGCGCGACAAGCCGGTGTAAAATCTCAGTTCGACCCAGCATATTATTTTGATTTAGCCGGCTCCGGCGGCGCGGAGCGGACATCTTTGAAGTTTAGACATAAAATCATATATTAACTGCTAAATTTCCAGTTAAGGAGCAGTTTGTTTGGTTCATGGTACGACCCGTAGCAGTTCAGTCCACTGTTTCTAAGGCCCCGTCCACACGTATMCGGAAATTTTTGTATCCGCAAATTATTTTTTTCACCGTTTTCACCGTCCACACTATCCGTTTTCGAAAAATTKGAGGATACGGACACAAAAATTTGCGGAAACGTGTGGACGCAACCCGTATCAGCAAAAAAAAAATTGCGGATACAAAAATTTCCGGATACGTGTGGACGGGGCCTAAATCAATCGTGCATTTGTGGTTTTAAAATTTCACTTTTAATTCTAAAGATAGTACATGATTTATTTTTCTTCGTGTCGCGGTCAGGGTTTTCTTTRAGTGGCAGGCAGCAGTACAATATTTTTAATCAGCATTAACTTGATCAATCTCTGTAGCATTCTAGATCTTTTTTAACAGCTATTCCTTTTCTATTCGACTTTGATTGGCAGCTTGACCACTGGCCAGGTGCTGTTCTATTCTTCATCCTTCGCACTTTAGTTCTTGTATTTGTTTAATACTTCTAGTACACTTGTAAACTCCAAGAACCAACTCTTCATCCATTCCTAGCCGAATCATAGTCCACCTCAGTGAAAATGCCTCTGGCATCTTCCTTTTCTGCTTTCGATCGATTTGTTTTGAATCAAGGAAAGCATTGCTAATGTATAACATATTTTATTTACGAAAAGAAGAATGCTATTGTACTTTCAGTTTTGTCCAGTTCARTTCTAGAATATATAAATGACCTTCATACAAGCGGCTGTACCATTCTACGACTCTGTTCATGTCTTAAATGTCGCAACCACTTTTCAACACTTAGAATATTTTTTTAAATCCTTTTAATCACTAGAAAGCAGGACCAGACACGAAGAATAAAGTAAAGGTTTTAAGGGTTTATCAGTTACGCGCTAAATTTGCATATTTATACAACTTTTAATGATCTTTCCAAGCATTAACACAAATTTTGTTCATGCCGATCTTGAATAGAAATACAAAAATATACATCCCTCGAGCGACTTAGAATCACAAAGCTTCATTAAACATCAGTAAAAATTATGTGGTGATTTTCAAGTTCTAAGCCATTTTCTTATAGCCTCCAGAACTGCTTTTACGGACTTTACGACTCGGCCAAAAAAAATCTTTGTTGTTCTTAAAAATCTTCAGATTTTTTGAACTCAAACTTAGAATCGATTGAGTTCAAAATATTCGTGTATGACCACAAAATATTTCATTTCTTAATCACTAGGTGGGCAGATGTTTAAAAGAAATGCTGATATTTTCATCAATGAATAACTAAACAGTGCACTGAAACCCTTTTCCGGTCAACAATGTTTTGATCACGTGATTAATCATCATAACACCCGTGGGGTCAAGGGTAAAGCGGTTAAGTACTCTTTTTATAAAATTCACATATTTCAATTTCAACAAAAAAATAAAAGCTTTATTACATTAATAACGTATTTATGACTGATTTTAGTGTATAAAAGTTTATTGCGAGGGTTTATGAGCAAAAAGATTTGTTGAGTGTAGAAATATGTTCATCCCCTCCCCCTAAGGTGGAGTGTCCGAACAAAGTCCTTTTATGACACTCTACACGTGTACAAATCATCACTTGTGTCTCCCCTTTGTCAGTTCAACAGATTTTTCCCTCACTAGCACCGTCACATCCACTGTACTAGAATATCCCGGCGAGAAGGACCCGAAGCGAAGCGGAATTTAAGTCTGAGTTGCCTGGTAGAACGCAATCAGACCGTGAAATTATGGCACACGCTCAAAACGGAGCAATCAAAACAGCTGAGGGAACCTCGACCGTCGATTTCAACGACCAGTTAGCATGGAAAAGGGTTTCCTATACATCTTTGTTATCAATTATTCTCGGTTTTCCAGGTGTGGTTCAATATTTCTTCGGCTTGCCGTGGTGGTCTTATCCCTTTTTATTTCTCCTATTCCTCGTTCCTCTGTTTGGGATTTTTCTCGTGGTCTATAATCGTCTATGTGTTTGGGAACTCGGCACTGAAGGATCTTGTGTCAGTCAATACATCACCTTCCATGACAAATCGCTCGAAAAAACCTACGGCAAACGAAAAATCCCATTCTATGTGCTGTACGAAGCCTACGCAGATGGTAGACTCGACTTCAAAATGGACCCGCTTCAAGCCTTGGAAAAACGAAAGCTCTTCGCGACTTTTGAACTATCCTTTTATCATTTGAAATTCTTCGTCTTCAGTTTTATCCCCGAGTTGTTGTCTCATTCAAAAAACCAGGATTGTAAACAGGTACGTGACCATTATGACCGAGGCAATGATTTCTACGAGGCCTTCCTTGGCCCTCTTATGATATATACGTCGGGAATGGTGCACGATAAAAGCGAAACTTTAGAGGAAATGCAGAAGAATAAACTGGCGATGGTCTGTGAGAAAGTCCAGATGAAAGAAGGTGACCGGCATTTGGACATTGGGTGTGGTTGGGGTACATTGGTCAACTATGCAGCTGAGAATTGTGGGACCACCTCAACTGGGGTCACTCTGGCGAGGAACCAAGTCGAGTGGGGTGAGAGAGTGTCACAACTGAAGGGTGYTACTGCACGCACTAAATTCTTGTGTATTGACTACCGTGATATACCCACAGGGAAATATGACAAGATTACCTGCTTGGAAATGGCTGAACATGTAGGTGTGCGACATTTCCAGGCATTCCTTAGACAGGTGTCTGATTTGCTGGAAGACGATGGTGTATTCTTCCTTCAAATTGCTGGGCTGCGCAGAGCATGGCAGTGGGAAGACTTTGTCTGGGGAATCTTTATGGCCAAGTATATCTTTCCTGGAGCAGATGCAAGTTGTCCTCTTGGTTGGTTTGTGACTCAACTTGAACAGGCTGGCTTCGAGGTCCAAGGAACAGAGAAGGTTGGAATTCATTACTCCTACACCATCCAACGCTGGTATGAAAACTGGATGCGCCCAAACACCCAAGAAGCCATGAAGCAAAAGTATGGGAGAATTTCACGTGTATGGGATATATTTCTAAGTTGGTCTACCATCATAGCAAGGCAAGGAAATTCAACTTGCACGCAGATCGTGTGCCACAAAAATCTTAACAACTACAATCGCTCTAGGTTCTTCAAGCTTAAAAACAAATAACTTTCAAGTTGTCTTTGGCCAAATAGGTAAACTGAGCAGCAAAATCAATAGCTCTAGGCTCTAGTTATAACTAACAGGAATAATGTTCTTATTTCCAGTTACTACTTATTATACTTAGACAGTCATGCATCCCTAGAGGCTAGTTTAGTTAACTAAAGTAAATCAAATGCTACTGTAGGCCTATGGTATATAACTCTACAAAATATGAAGAAATTGAAATTTTAAATGATCGCTGGACAGACCTCAATTTATTATCAGTTAAACATGCTAGTTTACTTCTCGCAAAGATATAAGAAATTTGAAATAATTTAGAATTCATTAGTGCTAATGAAGTTTGTATTAATTTAATTATCATATTTCTCTTCAACTTCAAACTAGATTTAAGTTTTAGTACATTTTTGATTATCATTTAATCTTTATTTTTAATTTGCCTTTTCATATGGTTTTTGATAGAATTTGTTCCTTTGATGCATTTAACAATATATTTTGATTATATTATAATTTTTTAAGCGAGTGATAAGCATCTATTGTTCCATATAAGACAAGCAAAACCTTAGAAAATTACATATTTTCACTTTTTTAAATTTTTCATTCGATAAATTATTCTTTAGGACTTTTCCCCAGCTCTTCATATCTTATTTTATTGAAAATTCAGTGTACTGTTAAATTCATTTAAGGCTATGTCCTTTGTTTATAGATTTACCTGAATTCCTGGTGATTTGGTAAGTTYCTTTATGTGGCATTATGCAAAATGATAAAAGTTTTTTGCAGCTGCATTCCTGTAAGACATGCAAGGAACCCCTTTGAACTACAGGCAATGCCTTATTATAGTTCAATACAATTATCTAACCTAAATTTGTGGGTCTCTAGTCTCTAGCTACCAAAGTTTGATCTTAGAATTAACTAAACCATGCTGCAGAAATTTATATTTAAACAAAATTGAAATATTACACAATGAACCAGCTTACAATTTTTAGAGCTTTGTTAATAACTAGTCAAAATTTCAAACTCTCGGAAAAATACATTACTAAGGTCATGTTAATTAGAAAATTAGAATTATTACCAATATTTATTTATTTCAATTTATAATTTAAGGGTTTTATCAGACTGCTTGTGCTTTATTTAGAAATATATATAGCCTTTGACATGCATAGATTGCTAATATCGAAGAAGAATAAAATGGCCTCACTTGATCCAAATCTACACATTGCTAATATCAGTTTTTCTAACGTATGATTTTTTCTTGATTATTTAGTGTATAGGGAATGATCATTTTATTTTGTACATCGATGGGCCTGGTTTTTTGCCCTCAGKTTTTGATAAGCTGATTAAATCTTGTGATCTTGAGCAAAAATGAAAATTGTCTGTTACAGAATCTGATAAGATAGTCTTGAGGGAAGTAAGCAAGATAGATTCAATTTGAAAAGTTGGAGTGGTTTCAAGATGGTAGTTAGAGGGTGTTCTTTTTCGGTGTACACAGTGTACACAGTCATCTCTAAGATTGGAAGCCCTCATAAGTGTGAAAAACAATAGCTTTTCGCCYCAAGATGAGGACAATCTGAAAGTAGAATTCATGGTTCTGACTCATAAGTTTTCTCAGTGGGATTAAAATCTTGTCTCACATACAATAWTACACAGCAATTTGATTTGATTTTCACATACTGTTGAAACAATTTAGAATCAATTTTTTCACGATCTGAGTATTAAATTCTGAGATATTCTAGTAATTTGTGGGGTAGGGCTTAAGCAAGGGATTGAACCATGAATTAAAGGCAATGGTCTGCAAATGGGAAAGAATGTAATGTCCTTACACTGTTATCTTGAGATTCCACYGACTTGAATAATATTAAACATAATTATATCTAGATTTATGCTACAGTTATGAACAAGAATAGTCTTGGTTATTTAGCTTGTATCAATCTTGTCATACACTTAGAAAGGGCACATTAATATTGCATATCAGATCTTTGAACTCAAAACATACATTGACAATTTTAAAATCCTTTTTTACAATTCAAGAATTTTTTGCTGTTTTRATAATATCAGGAAAATTACTTCGATGAAACAATTATAGTTTTAGTTTTCACCTTAAGTTTTTATACGTGAAAAAAACACTAGAGAAAGATAAAGAATGTAGGCACTAGCATCAAAATATGGACACATTATTCAAACACATGAAATTAGTGAGTGACAATAATTAATTTGCTTTCAGAAAATGTTTGGGAAATATCRTCACGCAGTAATCACAGTCACTTTAATTTTTAAACAACATCTGGAGTATTTACTAAACTAATTCAACTAACTARCTCAATTTCAATGTTACTGAATGATTAAATTAATCCTTGGCCAATTCTTGGCCAAAAGGTACGATTACACGGAACAGTTTTCTCTGCAGCTTATGTCACAACGGCGTTGAAACACGAGTTGCAAGATTGTCTACAYGCTGCAGATCATTGYCAAAAGTAGAAACAAATTCTGMAACTTGTCTYGCAATATTTTTCAAATTGTGCTGTATGTTACAGTCGTTACACACTGCTCCATGCAGAGAWAATTGTTCCGTGTAATCGTGCCTTAAGCCAATGAATACCAAATCAATGATATTGTGTAAGAAAAAATATGTATCTTAAATTCTAGACAACTGTCGTTGAAGTTGGATGAAAGTATTGTGAAATTACGATTGTATTACAGTACGTCAGCCCACAAAATATTTTGTGGTGTAAAGTAACATAATKAGAATTCTTTTGTTTGATTTACACAATAGCTTAGATTTTTACTGCTATTATGAGATTAATTTTTGAAGAGGGTGTTATTTAATGTAAACAAATATTATTAATTTGTTAGGTTGGTATTTGAAATATTTATATTCAAGGGATGGAATTCTACTTTCATAGGGTAATTTTTCATACCATCAATGTTATCAAGGGTTAAGATGCGATATATCTAATTCAGAATAATATGAGATTTGAATATTTATCTTTTTCTAGTTGACCACATGTATCAATTTTTAAATTCCTGGAATAGTAATAAATAATAGTAAAAAATATTTATTTATAATAGTAATAGTTAGATATATATAGGGTTCTTTTTACTAGCTACATGCACGAGCAGAATTTTATCAAGCCATAGGATCAGACTATGAAGTTACAGTACAGTTTAATAATAAGTGTATTACGTTATAAYGGTGAATTAGCCCAACGCCTTAAGGTTCTGTTGTGCAATATTTCCATGACGGACCCTAAGAACATCTGCAAAGAAGGCTAATGGTCTAAGGAAAGTATCAAGGAATGGTAGAGTGAAGTCATTTAACCCGTGAAATATATATTAGACTAATACACATTTATTTCACGGGTTATATGCCTTCACTCTACTAACTTGTATAATGAAATGTAAATAACGATGGAATGATTTTACTTGCTTGTGAAACAGAGTCGTATTTTAGTGAGTCAAAGTAAAACAAAAGAAAACGGATTTAGAGTGTACTCTACAGCTATGTATTATGCTTACTTTATTTTCATGAGACAAGTAAAATTGTTCCAATTCTGCACATTATTTACTTAGTTTCTGCATATTGCTTATGGAAATGCCTTGTTATACRAGCATGTTGTTAGTAAAAAAGACAGTTGATTTATTGAATGTAAACATATTATAAATAAAAGCTTGTTAGCTTATAGTTTTTAAAGCATAAATTCAAATATTTAATGATTGATGTGAAATAGAGCTACTGAATTAATTTAAGCGCTATAAAATAAAGAGACAATATCTATAAGTAGGGCTGTGTATGCAGCTCTATCTTTGATTTTGAAAAAGTGTTATTTTTATTACTACTTGATAATTATATTATTTTTAAATTATACTATTATTTTATACAGTGGTTTTGAGTAGTATACCATGAAATTTAGACGAGTCACTTTAATTTTCTCGTATACGCTGAGACAAGTGAGTGTAGATGCCTAAAAAATATGGGTGACAAGTGGGATATTCCATGGTGTGATATCCATATAACCAAGTGGATGACTGATAACATTCATTTATGATATTCMGTGGCGTGCCATGAGAAAGCATTGAATATGTACAACTATTTTATCTCACAACAATGAAAATAGTAGGCATTTAGTTGAGAACTTCAAAACACCACAAATGTCTGACCAAAAGGAAGAGTTGAATACCACAGAATATACATGTGCAACAGCATTGCTGCAATAATGAAWTTTTTTCTAATATCCTAAAAATCCTGTGTTCTGATTGGCTGCAYGTGTAAGCAGCTTTTTCTGACCACTTTCCGGAATCCTGGGATAACRAATAATTGCAAAACAAGTTGAAAAAGTAAATTGGGAAAAAAGGTCTYTAAAAGCTAAAGGCTTTGATTTCYATATTCAAGACCTCGGGCACAGCTTCCCCTATTACATACTCGTGGCCGGTACATATATAATATATCCTGAAGGGACTGCCAAGAGGATCTGTGGAAATTCTGGGAAATGAAAAGAATTGACTGAAATATAAATCTTGGGAGTAACCAGAGGGCTTATGACTTGAAGGAATTARAATTTGCATTGGCAGACCAGTGAGCATATTAGCCATCCTGAGATTGATGAAGACAGTGRTTAGTACTTCATGTAAGACTAGAGTGCAAACAGTTAATCYGTGAAACACTAATTACTAAATAGTACAAAATAGTRCTMATTAAACAATAGAAAACAATGGAATTTGCATGAAATTGTGCTATTTAGTATTACTMAAGTTTCACGGTTATATTGTTTGCACTCYACATGAAATGGCACTATTTGATTATTAATTATTGAAGATTCTAACATCCTGTAACTCTAACCCAAATCCTAACCCAAACTCCAAAAAAAACCTAACCTTAAACTTTATTACAGAATAGTGCCATTTCATTAGCCTCCATTGCAGACATCCTCGCAGGATGTCTGCAAAGGAGGCTACCATTTCATGTAGTCTTACATGAATGGTTACAGTGGTTCAAGTTGGCATTGCAGTGYAATGTGGGTGAGTGATTTAAATTAGGGGACATTTCCAAGATGGTGTCTRTTTGTCCTCTAATATAAATATAGATTATAAATACATTAGGTTTTCACAGAATTTTTGTTTTATTATTTATTGTGTAACTTTAGGACTCATTTTTTGTGATTTCATAGTTGAGGTGCAATCTTTCACATAACCAAACAGACTTGGTCATAAGATTGTAAACTCATTTCAACTTTTATTTTCACCATTTATTGACTGGTTCTCACTTTTAACATTACTGATATTTTATTTTATTTCATTTTATTTTCATTTTTATACTAAACTATACCAGAGTACTTTAACAATGATAAATGAAAAAATATTTTTTTATTACCATTAGCAGTAGTTATTCTACCCTTTCGACAAACTAATTTTTGTCTTTGATAATAACTAGTGGTTACTAGTTGGGACTGCAYGGATGGGTTGAAGACAMACAGCATTTAAGTTCCAATTTTATTCACTAGTTTTTGTCTTTCTTTTCCTCAAAATGGGCCGTGTTTGAGAGTTACCAGAAAATTTTCAGAATTCTAGAGGACCACCTCGGCACAGCTTCATGTAGTTTTTAATAAATTATTATTATTTTTTTTGCTTAGCAATGCTATGGAATTCCAAAAATATGTAGATAACCTCTATTACAAAATTAATGGCAGCTAATGAATTGATAACTAACCTGAATTCTGGGTAACTCTTAATAAAATATGAAAACATCAATCCCATTTGAATATATTACCATGTAAATCCTCCCAAGTCGACCTATGTCACTACATGGTTTACCTATATTGGATATTTGTCATTATCATGTCCTCACATAGTTCTCACAAACTTACGCTTATCAAGCACTATCACGATGAATTCAAAAACGCATGCTCAGGTGAGAAATTCCATACTTTAACGGTCTTGTCGTAAGAACCTGAGACGATTCTGTAGTCATTGAACTGTAGACATGTGACACCATCAGTGTGACAGCGAAGGGTGAGAAGTCTCTGACCAGTCTCTAAACTCCACATCTGTATCCAACAAATGCAAAATGAATTACTCACCACAGCTAAAATAGAAATATTATCTAATGGTACTTTTATTACCAGAGAGAGATAGAGGGGGGGGTCATTTAAAAAATCGTGAGCAAGAGGGGGGCACAAAATGTGTTGCATAGCACTTTTCAAATAAACAAAATACATGGAAAAAAGGGAGAAAGAGGGTTAGATCATAGGTGTCATATGCTGCTAATGGGTTGTCTGTCATGGTTGTGAGTGCAACTGGTCGGGCACTGGTTTGAACACTGCGGACACCACATGTGAATTTTTTTTTATGTCCTTCTCTCCCTTGACACGGACTTTTCGCAGGTTCCCCAGTTTTCCTCCCTCCATAAAAATCAAAATGTGAGTCTAGTGATGTGTGCATAGAATATAGTAAATGTACGTAGTGGTAGTGTATGTAAGTGAAAGCAGGCYCACAGTGAAAGCTGCCAAAAAAATGCCTGTTTTGATAAAATAAAAATTATTATTACATTTCTTGTATGGGTTGACTACCAAGTGAATCCCTGAATGGTCCCTAATTTTGAGCAAAAAAAGGTAATTTAATATTGAGTTTCCATGGAAAATAATACCATGAATGAGATGAGCACAGGACTGGTAAGAATCTGCCTAACRCTGTTATTATAATAAATATTTCATTACTGCAATACCTTTAGGGTCTTGTCATCACCAGCACTAACAATTCTCCAGCTGTCTGACTGTAAGCACCTGAGAATTAAATCATATGGACAAAGTGATGAAAATATTTTGTATTACGTATGTATGAAATAATAATGGACAACACCACTTAGCTTTCAGACCACACGTCATTATCTTGAGTATAAAAATTTATCTTAGAGTTGCATCTAGTATTATTCAATTTATTTCCTCATCCAAAAAACATTAAACAAAGAAATGATACTCTTGGGAATGACACATTGGTCTACGATAAAAGAAACTGAACTGGGTTTAACTAGTTTTTAGATCCCTCAAACAGATTACTTAGACTGAAGAGGTCTTGTGTTTAAGACTGTACAATCAAWTGATTCCTACCTGATGACACCAGTGTGTCCTTCTGATCTTATCCAGTCCAGAGTACCAATACACTACAAAAAAAAAGCCAAAAAAGATTTAGAATCAGATAAAAGTGTCTGATCTCTTCCTAACATCATAAATTACATATTAACAAAGGATATTGATCTTGAWATATGCATCTCTTATTCCGTACCCATTTAAAAATGAATTATTTAATAACTAACAGACCTTATTCATGGTGTGGCAATGTTTTCCCAATTCAGTGCGACAAACCAGAGGATTCATTTTCTTTTGTTTTTACCCTTCAAAAAATTCATGAGTATCCCAAAGGATACAAAAGGAATAACATTCATATCTTGACTTTTTTCAAAACAATAGCTGTTTATTCCCMTAGAGGTTTGTCACATTCAATTGTCACACCACAAATAAGGTGTATTGTAAAAATTAACATTTATTTAAAGCCGTTGACCATGTGCTTCATGTTTCGCTGTAATAGCTTTGGAAAAAATAATTCAAAAGTATAAGTAGTACTGTCATACTAGATTAACTTTTTTTGCTTAAAAAGAATATATTCTWTATTGCAGTTTWAAGCACTAGAGGGATTTTTTGTGCKAGAGGGTGATGAACAGGAGGCAGTCRACTAGAGTATCCTGTATCCTTAACCATCTGGCTGGTTCCCACATCACAGACAACTTTTTTTCTTCACTGAGTAAAGGCTCAARTACTGTCAACTGGGTTTGCATATGTGATTTTTAGGGCCATAGCTAACTCCCTTTMAGAGTTGTACTCCATAAATCATCGTAAAATATAATTATCATTGTGATCTCCCTAGATGAGCCGTTAAGCGTGGTTTTCACTAGCGACATAAGCATAAGCATAAACACAGACATAAGCATATCAAGCCCACTCACTTCTCTTTTAACGTCCTAACTGCGACATAAGCACAAGCATAAGCATAAGCACAAGGATCAAAGCAATCCCCTTGTTTTTAATATGCTTCTGCTTGTGCTTATGTTGCCTTATGTCATAGTGAGGACATGTTCTTATGCTTATGCTTATGTCATAGTGAAAACCAYGCTTTATACTTGGAGTAAATGATTAGAAAATATATGGTTAAATAAAAAAAAAAGAKTCATAGCCAAGGGATAATGTGTGTGCAATGATGCATATGTGCAGTGCAATTAACTATGGYCTGACCCATGATACCTTTCCAGTTGCCAAGTCCCAGAACTTCAAGTTATGATCCAGAGATCCACTTATGACCTTCCTGCCATCTTGGGTCAGGTTAAGACAGGTAACAGCATCATGATGACCTGCTAGGGTCATTAAACATTCACCTTCATCAAGACTCCAAACCTGACAAGAAACATATTATCATACTAGTTAGTCGAAGAAAGGATATTAGATACTAAGTTACACAACACTTTTGAGTTGTATACCATGGAATATGTTTCCAGGAGGCATTTAAGTCTATTTTTTTGCTGCAATTTTCATAAACATGGGAACTCTGTGTCTGCAAGCAGCACACTGAAATTTTTTTTGCTGCCATCAATCAAAAATATGAAAGGTACCAACTGATAGGGTTTGATTGATGGCAGCGAAAAACCAAATTTCAGGGTGTAGCTTGCAGTCGACACAGAGTACGCATGTTTGTGAAAATTGCAGCAACATGTACACACAAGCCTTCAGGTGAGCACACATGTACAGCTACTTCAAAAAAGGTTGTTAAAGGTTTTGTTGTATGCTGTATACCAATATTGCACCATCATGGGTGATGTGAATGCAATCAGCCAAAGGTCACAAAAAATATGGAATTTCTCCAAACTTTTTCTCCACGTTTTTTTTTTTTGGAATAATTTCTTCTCTGCTGACATTATTTTCAAGAGTATTAAAATGAATATACAGTAATGCATTTCATGCTTAGTAAGCAACATGCAACAAGCAGCAAAATTTTGACTCTTTTATCCCACACCATCCATAGAGAATACATAGGTCACAATGACTGTTCCCGGAAGCAACTAATATTAGACTATTAGACTGAAATATTATCAACTAATAGTATATATATTGGCTTTCCTTCATTCTRATTGGCTGTATTTTCAATAAARTAGGATAAATAATAAWAAAAATAAATGGACACTTGCAATAAGTGGGTTTTCCTGTGACTAATATATCCCTAATATCACCTAATGTTATTTTAAGCTAATAATATATAGAAAGAATAAGCAAYTTAAATTGTATATTTTCTTTTTAATCTCACCTTTATAGTGTTGTCATAAGAACCTGATACAATTTTATTGTCGTCAAACTGAACACAGAGGACTGCTGCATTATGCCCTCTAGAAATTAAAATATTGAAATCAGACAAGGGGCTGTACAGGTAGAGACAAGACAGTACACACAATGGGAGGACCGAATGGAAATAATTTAGAAAAGATAGTTAGGTAAATGTTGTGTCATTGCTAATATTGACTCACAACGGTTTAGTGTACCTTAGAGTTAATTCACACTGTCCTGTCTTGAGGTCCCAGACTTTCAGAGTCTTGTCATATGAACCACTTACAACCTTTTCATCATCAACCTGCAGAATGACGGCATATAAAAAGATGAATTTAATGTAGAATCATAAATTTCCTTAGTTTACTTTTTTCCTTTTTTTTCTTTCCTTTGTTTATTTGCAGCACCTTCCTTTTTTCATCCACCCATCCATCCATCCATCCATCCATCCCTCCCTCCCTCCCTCCCTCCCTTCTTTATTTCATTCCCCTCCTTATTTCCTTCCTCCTATCATTCCCTCCTCTCTCCTTTCCTTTCCTCTCCTTTCCTTTCCTTTTCTTTCTCTCCTCTCCTCTCCTCTCCCTCCCTTCCTGACTAGCCAATAGGAATGGTTTAAAAGGTGTTTTTTAAGACAACTGCCAATATATTTTAGCCAGACACTGTCTGTGACAGGCCATTTTTCAAATGTTGTTTTTGTCCTCCCCTAACAACCAAAAATAACAATAATTGTTTTAATAATAAAAAAGTGAAAGATTTGAGAGATCTCACCTGTAAACACCTGACTGTATGCATGTGACCAACCATAGTCACTTTACAAGATGCTCCACTCCAGTAAGACTCAAATGACAAGTCCCATACCTATTAATTATAATATATCAAATATACAAGGAATGGTTAATTAGGTCTTTCCCTCAATCAAAAGGTTTTGGAAATCYATTTAAAATAACTGACTCATTATAATTCTTGCTTTCTAATTGGCTCGAGGAACATGCTTTATAACAGCACAATGCACAAACGCACATTTCTTTATGATGAAAAGATATATGGATACAATGCACGCAAAGAATGACACATGGTCTCGAATGGGTAAACATTACACCAAGTCAAATTCCATTTATTTGATCTGTTAGTTAGCCATAAATTGACTTAGATTAGTCAAAATATTATTTCAAAATTGCCATTTTAACTTGTCGATGGAAGTTTAATGCTGCAAACTTATATCTTATTTTTCAACTTTATCATCCAAGAATTTAATAAATTGTTAATGCACTATTAATAATATTAATACTATTATTACCTTAATGGATCTGTCAACAGACCCACTGACAAGTCTATTACCATTCAGATTCAAGCAGCGTACAGTCCCTGAGTGTCCAGCTAGTGTCAGGACAGCATGGCTATCATCACGACTAAGGTCCCAGACCTTGATTGTCTTATCAGTTGAGCCACTTACAATACGAGTGTCGTCAAATTGCACACAAGATATGCCTGCCAAGTGT